TAGTCAGGTCTGGGCCTAGTCATGGTGCTTTTAGTACAGGCAGTGGTGGCAACAGCTCTAGCAGCCAGGCAGCAAGTATGAGCCAGTGGGTGCCAGCCCCGGGCACTTCAGCAACCTCCTGGTCTCCAGATATCCTGACTCCTTCCTTTTCCTCTCTTCTAACCCTGCCAATCCCTTTGTAGTCAGTTCCCTCTGTTTGAAATCTGTTTGTTTTTTTTTATTGGATTCTGACTGATACATATGAACAAATTACTTAAATGCTTCTTACATTTTGTTTTTAATGGTCATCTAATGGGGCTTTCATTTAAACATTTGTAGTAGTAAATGATAATAATGATGGTTAACTTTTATTATTTACTGTGTGCTGGGTGCTGTTCTTAGCCCTCAGATCTTATTCAGTCCTCACAGTGACTCCTTGAGATACATATTATTTTTATACCCCTTTGATCCTGAGGACCATAAAGCTCAGAAAGGTCAAGTAGATTGTCAGTGCCCACTATCACCCAGTGGAGAGAGCCAGGATTTGATCTAGGACTACCTGACTTGATAGCCTGAATTCTTAATCATTATGGAATATTGCTCCTGGCCAGTCTACTTACAACCGAATGTACTTATCCATTGTAGACAATGAGGTCTTTGGTTAAACCACAGTCTTTTATGATGACTTTTGCAAATGTGCTCCTTGAAGTCACTTTAGAAGTTGGATATCTACAGGCAATGTAAAAAAATATATAAATACTAGTCACTTGTAGATTATAAGCTCCATGAGGCCAGAATGATTACCTGCCATATTCATCACTGTATCCCCAGCACCTGGGGTGGTTTTTGTCACATTTGAAGTTCTAATATGTTTACACAATAAATGTTCATTAATATGCAATAAATCATATATAAACTAAATCACATATACCATATATGGTAAATCAATGAATTGAAGCCTGCATGGGCTTGGATGTGGTTAATTTTTTGCAGTCAGACAACTTTTCTATTGCTAAATACTTCCTTTTGGAAAGAGATATAGGTAACAAGCAAATAAGGTTTTGAGTTCATTTTCTCAGCCAGAATACGACACAATCTAAACTCAGGAGAGTACATTTTCATAAATGCAAAAATATGGCCCAGGAACATCAGGGATGAAAAGTACAGAATTACTTTATGATGAATATTATAGTTAACGATTTCTTGTAAGTCCACAAGAGATGTATAAAAAAATGAAGGAGATTCAGCAATACTAAGATATAAGATAATTCTGGCAGATTATTAGGGTAGAAGAGGCAATAAAGAATGAACTTGACCCCCCTCCATTTCTTTGTGAATGAAAATGTAGAACATTGAGAGCGAACAGGTTCAACAAAGGCTTGAGCCTTTGCATGTTAGGTTCAGCAATATCATGAAAGAAAAAAGAAGATGACTTTGGGGAGTTACACACTGACACTACCATGGGAGGGAAATGAATGGGATACAGGCGGGGCTCTAAATGTGGTGTCCTATTGAGCTGGCCACCCAGCTTGAGCTGGTCAAGAATTCAGTTTCTGTTCTGAGGGCTTTGCTGACAAAGGCGTAAGTGTAGGTCCTAAGTAAGGGAAGTTTGTGCAATAGGCCTCTGTGAAAAAAAGTGGATGATATTATTTATTCTATGGATGAAAGTGGAGGGAATGTTTCAGATTATTGATGAGCATGAGTCCATCAAGGTTGCAATCCAAAATAATTAAATTGGAGGAAGTAGCATGTCAAAGTTGAGTAAGTGGGGTCAATCTGCCTCAGATACAAGCAAAAAGAAGTGCATTGTATATAGAGAAGGTAAAAACAATAACAAAACCATGAACGCTAACCTGTTATTGATTATCACTATGAGCCTGCAGTCTAAACACTTTCAATGGGAAAATACTCCTCCATGCAAAAACTTCTCGTAACTTAAGATCTAAATAAGTATAGCAGTTACTGTTGTGTTTTAAATATATACATGATATGTAATATATATAATATGCTTCAGATTTAAAAGACTTATTCCTCACTGAACATTGTATTCCACTTGAAAATTACTTTAGCAAACTGCCAGATGTGAAGGTTGTCCCTGACACCTAAGACAGCTACATTTATTTGTTTCAAGGGTAAGTTTGTGATGATTTAGAGTCATTGGGGTTCCCAACTGTCATAATTTGTACCTTCACATATTCCTGTTTAAACCATAGTTTAAACTGTGGGTTTTAAATAATAGTTGTAAACACAATGAAAGAGAACTTGATTTATTTCAATTCTGTCCTTTTAGGTGACTACTTGGAGTTTTTATTTGTGTTTAAGATTTTTAAGATTTTTAAATTTGCAGAGACTAAAGCTAAAAAATAGAAACTGTAATGTTAACCAATTATGAGAATCCAACATAGGTATGTTTTTCTTTTTTTTCCCCAAAAAGTATCTTGAGTAAATCAAGAACACAAGGACATAATCCATTATTTTATTCCTTTTTAGAAATGAATGTTAATCCATCCATCCATCAATTTATTCATTTCTAGTATGATTATGTTTATTAAGGTGAATAAAGAAAACAATTCAGTCTACATTTCTTGACATTATTTTTGTTTCATGTCATAGTTATTACCAAAATTAATTTTGTTGTATAGAGGAAAAAATGTTTTCTGTATATCAAATATGCTAGGGATGTCACTGGTGGGAAATATATGAATTGCTGTGAATACATGGCAAATCTTTCCAAATTGTTATTGCAAATGAAGCCCATGAGACCATGGGAAGACAAATACTATCAATTATGTCCATCCTGTGCTTGTTAACTGACTCCCATAATAGGGAAGAAGAGTAGTGCTGGCCTATGATTTGAACCTTCCTCCATGTCTCATGAAATTCTTAATGATTTATCCGTTTAAGACATTTTGGTGAATCCTTTAGGTTTCCTATGTGATTTATAGTATTTCATTCAGAGTGACTTTCTTCAAGTGGATATGATGTCTATTAGCAGTATATGCCTTTCCATTCTCAGAGCTAACAAGTTAAAGACAATTTGGTAAGGGTGTGCCATCAGTGAAGACTTTTTAGTTAGATATCAGTTAAGAGCCAGTAATATACTGGCTAATTATCTACACCTCCCGTTGCTAGGAAGAAAATGCTGAAGTGCAATAAAGAAAAAAGACTTCCTTTACTCAAGTAAACATTGGTATAGCAACCAATAAACTTCCTATTTACCTTCCCTTCAGGATTTAAATGTCCAGGTAATGTTTTGGTACTATATTGTGAAATAAAGCAAGGGTAATAAAAATGAATTTGTTGCATACAGTTTTTTCAAAAAACTGGAAAAATGTAGACACATCATATCTGGTATCTGAGTTAGAATTTGGCAAGTATGATGAGAATAGAGAGGTTTAACATAGAAATTAGAGCTTCCAGGAATGTAGGGAGAGCTGAATGGGTTCTTCTGGTCACCTGCTCATGCTGATCTCCTTATATACAAGTGACATGGTCGCATCGTGGGTTCTGTGATAAGTGATCAAATCTATAAGGATCACAGGACTCAGACCCATGGCATCTATCTCTTCAACAGGAAGAGACAAGCACTACCAGGTTATTAGAATAATCTAGCTGACACTCTCCTCCCTGGATACTGTTTGGGTAGTCAGTGCCACGACCTGACTCTGTGATTCTTCTTTCTCAAGCTTTCGTGGCTGACCAATACCTCTTTTAAGTGATACCATCTTTCCTTTAATGTACAGTCTTTAATCAGATGATCACCCTATTGTTTCTAGATTTTTACCCCCAGTAAAACTGTCTTGGCCATTCTGCATTAATTTTATAATTTCACACTCAGAGATAATATTTTCTGGCAACTTACTATCCCATACCAACTAGAGTGACCATAGGGAAGTTTGCCAATCAACTGAGGGTTTTATGAATCTCTCTTCAGTCCACTCACTTCTGAATTTATAGACAAGTATGAAGAATTGGAAAGGGTTCAGAGGAAAGCCATGAAGAAGATTAATGAATGTGAGAATGAAAATATGGAAAGATCAAAAGTACTGAGGGAGAGAAAACTGCATGTGAATTTAATAATAGTATCCAAAAATACTGGATTGTTAAACATAAGAGACCAAATTATTTTGCAGCATAAGGGAATTAGGCTTGACAGAAAGAAGAACTTCCTTATGGTGAGAAATGTGAGTGATGAATGGCTACCAAAAAAGGATTGAAATCTGCTCTGTAGAGTTTGAAAAATGATGTATTTTCACTTTTTATAGACTGTAGTCCTTTCTGAAGGCAGAGAAATGGGCCACATAACATTTCAATTTTTTTTTCCAGATCTGAGATTTATGTATTCACTTTCTCAGGAATAGGGTAATGAATCCTTCCACAGTTAAGTGAACCAAGAACCTAAGAACTTCAGGTGGTGATTCAAGCTAAATTACAAAGAAATTCCTTTTTGTGTGCACTGGCTTTAACTTCTTTTTAGCAAAAGAACTCTTCTGAGATACTGATAGACCACCACATACAAATGTGTACATGTGCCAAATCTGCATACAATTTCTAGGTATTCATGGACTCCCCACAACCTATTCAATGAGCCCTTTAAGGGTCAAGGGATCCAAGTTAGTAAATCTTTTTTCAGAGGAAATTTATTCTTTCTTTCTTCCTTTTTTTTTTTTTCCCCTGGCTGCTTGGAGTTTATTTTGTACTTGGTACAAGGCACAGGGTTACATGGTGTCAAGAAAGCTTGTGTGTGGCTTGGATAGTAATGAGAGGGGTTCCCTCAATTTCTTTTTTGGTATTTTGCTGTTTTGATATAAAAGAACCCTATTGCTTCTGTTTGCTGTAGCCTGCCTGGTCTATGGGGAGAGGAGGGGAGGGGAGAGGAGGGATGGGAGAGGACAGCACTCGTGAGCCTGGCACCTCCTGAAGCCTAGTGGTGGCCACTCAGGACTGGGGTCCAGTGTTGGCTTTGCCAGGCTACTCACCAGGCTCCTTCCTCATGGCCTCCAGAGCCATGTCACAAGTGATCATGCCACTGGAGGCTTGGGGACACTTGGAGCATTCTGGGGACTCCAACACTATAGCCTTTAACGAGAGAGTGGACTTCCCTCAAAAGAAGTTTGCCCATCAGTGACCTGGGTGGGCCCTAGAGAGACCTGGGTGGTGAGGGGTGGCTTCCCCAGGGTACTCTGAAGTTCTACAAGGGCTGTTAGTGGAAGTGGAACCCAGGTCGCACCAGTAAGAGTCATGGGTGACCATGAGCAAGCTGTGGGAGGGAAGTGCTGCCATGCTGTCACTTGTGGGCTGATGGAAACCTTGTCAGTGACCTCTTGTGGGCTTTGGTATATGATGGCTAGTGGTGGGGACCTGGATGCTAGGCCACAGAGGAGACTGCAGAAGGCCACTCCACCACTGAGGGGTGGGAAGAAGCTAGAGGAAATTTATTCTTATTTCAGACATGGCCAATCCCATTCTTATAGAAAATTTGTTCTGGGGACATCAGCCTTTGGCTCAGGTCATGATCCTAGGGTCTATGATGGAGCCCTACTGCAGGCTCTTTGTTCAGCAGGGAACCTGCTTCTCCCTCTCTACCTCCCGCTCTCCCTGCTTATATTCTCTTTCTCTCTCAAATAAATAAATAAAATCTTTAAAAAAACTGGAATAGTCTTGGTATCATGAATCACCTTCACACCACAGGAAATGTATGACTTGTATACCTCTTTTCTTTCTCATCTTCCCTTTTGTTCTCCCTATTCTTTTCTCTTCTTTTGAGTGTCACACATCCTTCCCTCATCTTCTCCCTTGGTCCTTCCTTTCTCTCAAGGTCTATAAGTTGCCCTCAGGGCATAAGGTAACAAAAAGATTGCCTATTAAAGCCCAGAATCTGATTAAATATGTTAAACAAAGATCACTTTAGTTGCCACCCACCCCCTGCCCCCACATTAGTGTGTCAAAGTCCTTAGTGTCATTTGTACTTTATAGCTACCTGTGAAGGAAGACCTCTTCATAAACACACACTTTAGAATCTGGAAGTGATGTACTCATGGAATTCTTCACTTAGAAAAATCTGGGAAGGGGTGCCTGGCTGGGTTGGTGGGTGGAGCATGCAACTTTTGATCTGGGGTTTTGGGTTCCAGCCCCACCTTGGTTTAGAGATTATCTAAAAATAAAATCTTAAAAAGAAAAAAAAAAGAGAGAGAGAGAGAGAAATATCTGCAGTTTTCTCTTTTGGTTGGGGTCAGAGACACTTAGAGAAAGCAAATTTCTCTAAGCTCGCCACAAAATTGGAATCAAGTTCCCTTAGAAAAGGTTTACATGAAAAGCCAAGGGGAGATTAGGGTAAGACTCACACTTTATCCCTAACACTTTTTTTCCTGCCCTTTCTGGGAATGAAATTATGTGAGAAATCAATTTGCCTCCTTATGTTACTTTGCAGAATTTCCACTTCTGTGCAGCCCTTTCTCCTTTGCTGGTTCCTCTTTGAGGAACTGTTATGAAGGACATTTTCCTGCATTTCAAGGACAACACATTCATTAAATACTTAATCGAGTGTTTGTTCATGGAACTCACCTTCCCCAATTTTGTAGCATTCTAGTGTTTGTAGGCCAAAGATGCCCTCACTGGGATTCAGTTTGAGGAAAATCTTTCCATAAAATAAACCCTCTGTAAGTCTGAGTATTTATATAGAAGATCTAGAAGAGGAAATAATACCAGTAGACATATTTGGAAGATTTTCTCCTACTTTTAACTTAAAAACATCACCAGAAAGTAGTCAAAAATTTAAATTTTAATTTGAAGGCTTGACCAAGTTTCTGCTTGAAAGCACAAAAAACGAAGAAAAATAAGCTATCCTTTTCTTTTAAGCAACAAGCTTGATTTACAAAGGAATCTTTCGCTAACAGGTACTCCAGTAATTTTAGTCTAAAGATGGCAAAGTCAAGAGAATGGCATTTCTTACTACCAAGTACTACATATTAAGATGTTGTGCTACTTTTAAAAATTATTTTTTTAATTGAGGTATAATTGACATATAACATTATATTAGTTTCAGGCATATAACATAATGAATGATTGGATACACATTGTGAACACATTGTGAAATGATTAGCACAATAAGTCTAGTTAGCATTCATCACCATACAATCATATTACATTTTTAAGATGAGTATCAGGTTGATTAGGGCCTGACCTATTTTAGTTGTTAAGTATTTTCTGTATCACACTGTGTTAAGGACAAGATGAATTCCATAGCTCACTGTTTTTCCCTTCTAGGTTGGGCAACAGGGGAATCCAGAATTTACTATGTGGTTTCCCTTATCCCTATGCAGAACCTTGAGGCATGCATTTCTGTGAACTAACTCTCTTGGGCTTTTCTTTTTCTTCCTTTCACTTTGCTCTGATTTCTCTACCTTTAGAAAAAAAAATCTCATTGTCCTACTTGTAAGTACATAAACTACCTGAGATCTATTTTGTAGTAAGCTAGGACATTAAATAAATAACACAGATAATTTTACGATAATAATCTTGAAACTTAAAATTCAAGAGGAAGTCAACACCTTTGAAAAATGAGTGAGTTGACAAGTTCTATTTCAGAAAATGTTTGTGATTCAGGGCAGCCCCGGTGGCGCAGCTGTTTGGCGCCTCCTGCAGCCTGGGGTGTGATCCTGGAGACCCAGGATCCAGTCCCACATCGGGCTCCCTGCGTGGAGCCTGCTTCTCCCTGTCTGTGTCTCTGCCCCCCTCTCTGTGTGTCTATGAATAAAAAAAATAAAATCTTTAAAAAAAAAAGTTTGTGATTCAAAGTAAATTGGACCAACCTGAAGTTTCTGCATAGCTCCCCAGAATGAAACCCACAGCAATGATATACTCTTAAATAAAAAATATTCTTTCCAAAAAAAAAATATTCTTCCAAGTCCAGATTTATGTCATACCACCAGGTATGTTTGGCAGAACATCATCTATAAGTAGTTATACAGAATTTTTAACACAAAATCCTAAGTTTTCCCATTTCTTAGGATTTGGGGTCTGAATCGTCTGTAAAATATGGAAGCCATATTGTGGATCTTAAATATTTTTCCATGGATCTTGGTCATGGAAGAATTCTTTTTGGTAGCACTTAAGTATCCCTGTTGCCATTTCTGGTAGAACTCTCCAGTTTCTAGAGCCACTACTGTTTTTGTGGAAAGGCTGTATAATCCCCTGGAGAACAGTGGAGTGGTTGAGTAGGGAGGCTGGCTATGCAGCTGTGGTACAAGGCACACTACAGTTTAGGAATGAGTGCACCTATTTGTTGTAAAAGAATAATTTGGGGGGATCCCTGGGTGGCGCAGCGGTTTGGCGCCTGCCTTTGGCCCAGGGCGCGATCCTGGAGACCCGGGATCGAATCCCACATCGGGGTACCGGTGCATGGAGCCTGCTTCTCCCTCTGCCTGTGTCTCTGCCTCTCTCTCTTTCTCTCTGTGACTATCATAAATAAATAAATAAATAAATAAATAAATAAATAAATAAATAAATTTTTAAAAAAAAAGAATAATTTGGGAGAAGAGGGAATTTTTACTGAATAAGGTATGCAGGAATTCTAAGCACGGCACTTTTTTTCTACTGTCAACACTTGGCTGCTTATTTATGTGTTTTTTTTTTTTTTTTAGCTTAAACAATTTTCAACTTCGAATTTCTCCTTACAATCTGCGAATCAAGGAAATGACTCTTTTTTACAGTCACTTAGCTTTCCTTTGGCAGATATCATGGTATACCAGAAAGGGACAAAGGAGAGGGAGAGTAAAGAGTTGAACGGAATCGCCCAAGAGGTAGAAATGAACAAAGAAACTGGGTTTCTTGCATTGGCCCCTGGGTGACAGAAGAACTTTTACTTCTTGAGAATCCAGCATTTTAAGGGATTCCTTAGATTATGGTTAAAGCAATTATAAGTTTGGAGCCTGGTTAAGCTAAAAATAAGCCCTCTACTAAAAGACAATCTTTTCCAGTTTCTGAAATCTTTTGGTAGAATCTTAGAAATACTTTTTCCCATTATGTTCTGTCTTTTCCTTTAAAGAAGACATTAAATGAACTGAGTTCTGGAAAATATGAGGTACCAAATAAGATCACAAAGAGAGGTAACCTAAGGCTCCATCTAGATAAGAAAAATGAATAACTATGTCTTGCCCTTTTCCTGATGGATGCTGAGCATCCGCAGTTAACTCTTGTTATGTGCTGGTCATAAGACAGCAGTGTAGGGAAATGAAGCAGTAGTGCAGGAATCAGGGAAGCCTGTTGGGCTTGAAGAATTATGACAGGAGGACTGTGTTTGGGAGCTCTGACATTAGACAAATTCAAGATTATATGGGGCAGTTACTTCCCCTCTGTCTCTACTTTCCAATATGTAAGCATGTCCTAATCTGTAAACAGCAGAAAGATGCCATTAAATTCAGTTAAAAAATATTGTGTGAAAAGTGCTCTGGCTGCGTATCTGGCACATAATCATGCTCAACAAATGGTGACCATTATTAGTGTTTATAATTACAAAACCTACTTTTTTGAGAATGTAAGATGTCCTTTTTGTGTGCCTGAATTTCAAACGTATATTGGAAATAATTAATTATGCCATCCATTTTTACTTCCTTAGAAGGGAGATGCCATCCATTCAATATGCAGTTTTACTAATTTAAAATTATTTGCTAGAAGGTTAAACATAATGTTTTGCAATCCAGAACTACTGACTACATTAAAAGCAAAAGATGGAGCACTAGCTTCACCCATAGTGAATACTATGAGAGTGAGAAATCTGGATTTTATTTATTTGCTTAATCCTAGAATGCATAAATGTAGTTTCAGAATTACCTATCATCTGCGAAACCAAATTTAATAAAGAAAATGCAAATATTTGTATCTTTTTTCTTTAGCCTTACATACCTAGTAAATTATTTTTCAAAGTTACTTAGGTTAGTTTATTTATTATTTATTTATTTATTTATTTATTATTTATTTATTTATTTATTCATGAGAGACACAGAGAGAGAGAGGCAGAGACACAGGCAGAGGGAGAAGCAGGCTCCGTGCAGGACCCTGATGTGGGACTCGATCCCAGGTATCCAGGATCATGCCCTGGGCCAAAGGCAGATGTTCAACTGCTGAGCCACCCAGGAGTCCTGGTTAGTTCTTTTCTTCACCAACTTCTACAGTGTGATTATTTATTCATTGGTAATACAGTTAGGTTAACTCTATTTGAATTTCATTTTAGGTTCCCTCTGTGCCCTGGTTAATTTTCATTGTTTAATTTGTTTTCAGCTATG